GCATGAGTGCACGAGCATGGGCACTGGCATCTATCAATGCCAATCAGCATGAGCAGACCTTGATGCGTTTCGCGATGTCGGCTTAAGATTCAGCAGCATTCATGAACATCGGTTCATGCCATGACGTTATCTGCTGCTAGGCTGCTAGGCCAGGCTATGCATGGGCCCATTAGTGGCACGTCCGAGTTACGGCAACAATCTTTAGGACTGTAGGGGTTAGGGGTTCATCATCTAATCTAGCCATTGCGGCACCTCTACTAAGTCCTATCTAATCTAGCCATTGCGGCACCTTTGCTATCTAATCTAGCCATTGCGGCACCTCTAATACTAACAAGTCCTAGACTTACTAAGTACGAGATGAGCAGGCAGCTTTGTCAAAACACATTAATTAAGTCGCCCGTGCAGCCATGGAGTGCACCCAGGAATCCTATTTTCGCGAGATTCCCTGGGATTTCATTAAGAGCGCCTGCAACGTAGCGGTGGTGCGAAGCCGTTTGATTCCTCGCGCCCTATCTGCAGCTAGGTTGGGTTTAGGCCTGTGATCGCCGCATGTTCCGCAGTAGAACCCTAGACCGCCTACCCAGGTGATGAGACCGAGCTGCCACACTTGCAGAAAGCCTGCCTCCCAGCCTTCACGTGGCAGTTCGGCGAAGTGTTCACCCCTGTGTACGAGCGTCACTATCCACTGGCATGGGCGCTCCGGTACATGCGGGTGGACGAAGGAGCATGGATCGTGCCTGTGCTAAAATTTAAACTAACAGGGCCTAAATTTCTTGTAGTCCGATGCCATTCAATTCAGTCAATACCCTGACCACCGACAGGTTGTGGTCTCCGGGATGCTTCATTCGCACGAGCGGGCCAAGCCTCTTACGACCGAGCTCGTCATGTTTGCCTTGCGGCTGGTTTTGAAGAGCGAAGGAGGCTGGGATCCGTCCGATATATCCGCGAAGATAAGTGTGGGCGGTCACCGCATTCGCAAATATCTCCGTATCTTGGCTGCGATTTGTGGTGGCTCGCTCGGACTCAAACTAAACACTCTAATCGCATCCAAAACTTGTTTCTTCCAGGTGCTCAACATGCTCACCCTTTTGGACCTCCCAGACGCGGTGACCGCCCGCATTGGGATCAAGAGGGCCACTGGGTGCCTTGTCTGAATTGCAACTTGGACCTTAGTCTATGCTTCTGATTCTGTTCAACACATCTCAGGGCAGTGGCGAGATGGCGGGGGCGGTGGAGGCTCTGTGGAAGGAGGTCCCGGGCTTCTGCTACTGCCTGTTTTTCTTGAGCCCGATGCCACCGCAAATGTGGATGGAATCTCGATCGCATAAGGACTGGCACAGCACTCGCAGCTCGCATCATAAACCCTACCCTTCAAACCTCAGGACTTCGCAGGACTGTGCAGATCGAGTCCCACCAACCATGGTGCGGACTATTTGCACGAGCACTCCATCGCGATGATCCGCTACATCCTGGCGTTCCAGCAGGACCCTTCGTCCGAGGTTGCTTTGGATGGCCTTGAGAAGTCCAGGAAAATCCTCAGGGACTTCATCCAGGAGAAACGAGGTTGCACTTTGGGAAACTGTGGTTTAATAGATGTTAAATGTTCATAAATAAATTTCCAGGGCCCCAAAATCTAAACTACAACCCAGGAAGCGGATGCTACTGCAGCACGAGGAGGCCGACTATACGTCTTCGACCGAGGACCTCCCGTTTTGGCACTATGAGGGCGACGACGATGCTAAGCTGCAACAGTCAAACGCCCGAGAATCAGCAAGATAATATGAACTTTTCGGCCACCTCCTGCTCAGGCCAAATGGAAAGACAGGTGGCAGCCTTCAAGAGCGGCGGGTCCTAAAGCGGCAGCTCCTCCTCCACCCAATCCGGCCTCTTCGGCCGCTCAGGCCGCTCCGCCTCCACCTCCGCCTCCACCGGCCGCTCCGCCCCAAGCGGCCGCTCCGCCCAAACCAGCCGCTGAAGCCAAGCCGGCCTGTCCGCCCGAGAAGACCACGAGCGCCCCAGCAAGAAAAGCTCCTCCTGCTCACCTTGGCCCTGCTCCGCCCGATACACCCACAGTGGCTGCACCTCGTCCTACTGTCACTTGGCTAGTTTTTGACCAGTTGCACTGCAGCACATAGCAGCTATGTTCGGACCGAGGAGCCCGAGAAGCAGGAGAAGCAGGAGCCGGCATCGTCATCATCGGCGGCGGCCAAGTCGCCGAGCCGCCACAACAAGGCTAGGACGCCCGCCGAGCACTGCAGTAACATAATAAATTTGGTGATATGCCCTAGCCTTGCAAGGTGGTGCCCACTGCCACTGCCACCAACGACGATGCGTCCGAGCCCGCCGCGACCGAGCAGGACCAATCGTTGCAAACCGAGTGAAGTTCGAGTTGGGAACCATTAAAACGCCAAAGTCTCGACTGGCTTCGCCCGAGGCGCCAGAGATTCCGCCCGAGATTGCGCCCGAGATTCAGCCCGAGAGATCCCGATCCTTGGCGGCAATGTTAGGCTTGCCTTCTTGCCACTCAAGTAGCATTTGTTTGTCGACCGTATAACTGCACCTTATCAGGTCCAGTTCGCCCGGTGCGCGCGGTAGACACCCGTGGCCGCTGCGTGCTCTGCAACGTGCCGGGCAATGCTGCGCACTGGATCTCGGCCAGCCACATCAACAGGGAGATCGAGTTGGCGGCCGAGAGCAGCGACAGTGACTGGATCGACTCGGACTCAGACTAACCCAAAAAGAGAGGCCTTTTTATTCTTAGGTTACTGGGTATCCTAGGCTGTCATCCTGAATCTGAGACTTACAGATTATTAAGTCCGAGTGTCTGACCGAGTCGAGACATGCATGTCGCATGCCATTTTGCACCGAAGGTGCCGAATCCGAATTCTAAGAGCTCCGAAAAGAATCTGCAGTGGCTTGCGGTTGTTCTATCCAGAGATTCAAGACAGGCTGTTGACTACGTATGCTCACTGTGACAGGTGGCTGAACTCCTGCAACATCGTGAGGCTCCCAGTGTCGGTCTTTGCTCTTCAGTCTGTCGTAGAAGGGCCACCGTTGCTGATGCTCAGGTCAAGGTGATGACCGGTCCGAGTGCCAAGCGTCAGTGCGATGATACTTACGAGATTGATTGAATTGGCTTCGTCTGACTCTCAGGCCCGAGTCAACTCTTGCTGCTCGTCTCCGGTCACGTACCGCAGTCCGAGAAGACCAGAGGATGTGCCGGGCCGAGCTGGAGCACTGTTGGAAGACTTGCTCAGACTGACAGCATTGATTGTCTGAGTCTGCATGTGCGACTGCAGCAGCTGCTGACTGCTGACTCTGAAGGGCCATACATGCAAGATGGCCGGCCGATCGAATCAATGCTGGGGCCCCCAGCTCTGACTGGTTTAATAAAGTGAAAGTACGGGTTTAGGGGTTTGGGGTCCGGGCATGAGGCTTCTCGAACGCTAAATCCTGAACCGTCCGAGTTGCAAGCTCGTCGCTAAAACCTCAATCCTTCAACCGTTGCTCAACCTCAAAACCCTAAGTCCTCAACAACCTTAAAACCCTAAGTCCTGACCTCATGAAGCCGTCCCTGTCTCGAGCGAGTGTTATTTTGTCCAAGTCCTGATTAACCTTAAACTCTAATACTAATACCTCAACCTGTGAACCCCGAGCTCTCAACCTCCCAAGCCCGAGCTCGGGTGCACTGGGCCAGACAAGGCGCGGAAGTTGTGCTCAGACAGGGCCTTCGGGCCCTGTTTGTCACAACTTCAATGAAGGGGAAGTTTGTGCTCAGACAGGGCCTTCGGGCCCTGTTTGTCACAACTTCAATCGTTCGATTGTCGTGCTCAGACAGGGCCTTCGGGCCTTGTTTGTCATGGCAGTCAAGGGTTGAGAGTTCTGCTCAGACAGGGCTTCGGCCCTGTTTGTCAGGCTCTCTACGGTGTCCGTCCGAGCCCAGCGTCCTGAGTGTTTTCGAAGGGAGGCTCCGACAGGGCTTCGGGTGTGTTTTGGGATTTTGAGAGGTCCTGACAGGTCCGAGGTCCGAGAGCCACACCCAATTAAAACTCGCCTGATAATTCAATAAACCCACTCAGGTCGAGTGAGATGGTGGTCCAGCAAAGCAGGGGCCTAAGTCCGAGGAGCATTGGGAACTCAGGATTGAGAGTGCAGTCGCTTTAGTCACTGAGTGCGCATCTGGGGCCATCAGACCTCCTGAATCCAGGCTCTTATCAGAAGCCTCCCACAGTATACTTCGCCCGAGACCAAACGACATCGCCCCGCCCGAGATACAAGCAGACAAGCCGAAAGCTCAAGAAAACTCTCAAGGTCGAGCCAGCTGCTGTGTCCGAGTTGATTCTCGATCCGATTCCGAAGGCTCGCCTTTGGTGCATGCAGCTTTTGCCTTCTGCAGCTGTTGCTCATCGCATGCATTCTGCACTGCAGCGCTGCATCAGCATTGGCGTTCGCATTGCATGAGCTGAGCTTGATACATATCGCGAGGTGGGCTCAGGATTGGGCAGTGCATCATGATCATGTCACACGTCCGAGTTACAGTGACACAAGAATCAAAACCCAGGATATTTTATTGCTAAGACTACCTAGGGATGCATCACCAGCCATCACACGTCCGAGTGACACTGACACTAGAACCCAGGATATTATGCCAGTACTAGCTAGGGATGCATCACCTTGCCAGGAATCACACGTCCGAGTGACACTGACACTAGGACCCAGGATATGCTAGTACCACCTAGGGATGCATCACCTACCCATCACAGGTCCGACTGGCACTGACACTAGGACCGAGCATCACCGCATTCCTTGAACTTTCGCCTCCTCCATGGCTGCTCCAGCCATGAACTTCGACACCATTCCATGGGATTTCATCAATAAGGCCTGCAACTTCGGAAACCCACGACCGAGACTGGTTCCGCGCACCCTAGCTTTTAATCTTAGAACTTATTAAACAAAAAAGTACCAGGCTTATTAGGTCCCTAAGTCCTAGACCGCCTCAGGTTTTTCGTCCGACATCCCGATGCTCGACCAGTCTCGGCTGGATATTCAGAACGAGCTCGACGAGAGGGTGATTCGCTTCATGTACGATGTTTCGTACGACTTCTGCTGGACGCTTCGCTGGCTCAGGGCTGATCTTCCAACCTGGGCGGTGCCATGTCTAAATTGGGGTGTAAGGCTTCGGTAAAATCGGAAGGGAGCTTCTGACTGTAAGTGGACCACGACCCTGACAGGCGATTCTGTGCTGTGCCACTCACTCACACTGGAGGGCGTTCGACATGACGAGGCAGTTGGTCCAGTATGGCGTCCGAGTGGCATTCAAATCCAAAGACTGGGACGAGTCGTTTGTCTCGAGCAAACTGCTCAGTGGCACTCGCAGGATCGCCCACTGGCTGCGACTCTCTTCTGAATTCAGTTATAATACTAACTGAATTTCTTGATGGGTCGGACTCATTCATAGCACACTCAGGAGTCCAGCACATCCATCCCTACGGAGTGCCGAAGCGCGGTGACAGACCTATCGGTCGGGCGATCAAGCACTGGGCGGCTTATCTGAAAAGGGTTGAGGCCTGATATAGGGTTTAAAGGGTTAGGTTTTTTCATTTGTGGCAATTTTTTACCGACGGCCAGCAAGGTGGATGCCGATGCGTCCGAGTTATGGGTGCTGTGCCCCGGGTTCGCGTGGGCTCTGGGGCGGTTCGACCGAGCTTCGCGCCATATCTGGCGCGACTGTGTCGGCATGTGCAGAATCTCTGTCATAGTTGTGTAACATTTTACATTTTTATGGGTACTTGAACCCAATAAGGAATAAAAATGTAAATTTAATCCTATCCCAACAATGACCTAGGCCTGAATCCTGCCGGACACGGCTTGGACTACCTTCTGGAATTTGCGGTGCACCTCCTCGTCAAGATTGTCGTCGGCGACAGCGACGGGCTTGACAAGGCGCAACGCAGTCTCCGCTTTTTCCTCCAAGAGAATCCAGGTACCACTTTGGAAGACTTTTCTTTGAGAGTTGCCCTTTATGGTTTTTATAGTTCGAGTTACCTATTCATAAATCAACAACCCAGGAAGGTGATGTTCCTTGCGTCCGAGCAGCAGACTTACAAAGATGCCGGCAACAGTCCGTACTGGAAATATGATCCGGACGACGAGGCCTGGTTCGAGCCCAATGTTTGGCGGCCACGGTCACAGGAGGAAGAGGTGGGCGATATGACCGAGCCTGAGGTTGCAGCTCCTGGTCCTTCTTCGACCGAGCCGACCGAGGCTCCCGAGCCGATTCCTCACGAGCCTTCTTCCTCGTCGCGTGATCCAGCACCTCCTATGCTGCGGCCCAAAAAGATGCCGAAGGCCAAGGCTCAGGCTGCTCCTTGACTTATATAAGTAATTTAATGGGTTTTGTGGTTTTTTCAGGTTTAAGGTTGATTCAATAATCATGTCATTCTTCAACTCCAGGCTGAAAGCCCCCGTTTGACCGAGCCTGGGGTTGCAGCTGGTCCTTCTTCGGCCGAGCCTGTGGTTGCAGCTCCTGGTCCTTCTTCGTCCGAGAAAGCAGCTCCGAAGGTTCCGAAGCAGAAGGCTCGACCAAAAGCCCTGCTGCAGCCTAAAAATATGCCGAAGGCCAAGGCTCAGGCTGCTCCTTGACTTATATAAGTAATTGAATGGGTTTTGTGGTTTATTCGGGTTTAAGGTTGATTCAATAATCATGTCATTCTTCAACTCCAGGCTGAAAGCCCTCGTTTGACCGAGCCGACGGAGCCGATCGAGCACGAGCCTTCTGCCTCGTCGCGTGATCCAGCACCTGCTTCTCGGCACCACCAGGCTGCGACGCGCGGGTTCCTCTGTAACTTTAATTTTGCTATTCCTTAGCCTGGCAAGGCACGACCTCGCCGCGACGATGATGCTGCTGTGGCTGGTGCGTCCGACAGAGAGCCTCACCCCGTCAGGACCGAGGAGGACGAAAGATTTAAGCCCAGAAGCATACAGCATAAGCCCACAAAACCCAAACCTTAACTTTAGCTGGCTTTGCCCGAGGCGCGCTTCGCCAATACCTCCACCGCCAGTCGGAGTGCCAAAGAGTTTCTCGCCCGCCATGCCAAAGGCAGCTTGGCCCGAGAGGTCCCGCTCGCCCCGGAGATCCTCCCAGTATTCCTTCCTCACAGGAGGATATGGGCCGAAGCCTGATGTTCTGCGCCGAAGAAGCAGGTGGTTCGTAAATCCTGACGAGGATGGTGATCCTTGGCTGTATCCTTAAAATAATGACTGTGACTTCAAAAGTAGTACTTATTATTTACTAAGACTTAAACAACACTTAGTTGTTTGTCCACAACCCCAGGCTGAAAATCAGCCCGAGCACTGACTCTGACGATGCTATGTCCGACTGCTGATCAGGCAACTCAAAAAGTTCAAGTGTTTACATAGCGGCCTCTAGCTGCCATCCCTAAGAATCCTAATGCTTAAGTCCGAGTTTGCCAAGCCTTTGCAGTCTGACTGAGTCGAGACAGTGCCAGGGCCATTAATGATGCACATTTGCACCTCTCCAAAGGAACGTGGTGCACTTGCCACGCATACTGGCGTGGTCGAATATGAGCGCCGAGCGGAAAAAATCGCGCAGCTGCTCGTTCTTCGAAAGGTGTCAGTCACTGCTGTGAAATCATGCGACTCGAGCTTGTGGCAGGTGGCTGAACCGCTGTCGCGATGTCGTGGGGCTCCCGGTGTCAGTCTGCACTTCACCCAATTTCAACGTCCCAGGGTACCTTATGAGAGATACTTTGAGCTGATTCGTTCATCTGGGGTTCTTGGCTTCTTTCAAGTACTTCGGCTATCCCGCACACCTTATCCGCACCCAGACACACATGGCACGAGCCTGACAGGAGAGCCTGCTTTTGACGAGCTACTTCTCACTGGGTTGTTACAGTTGTGTGTCTTCCAACTCTGAGGCTGGAGTCAACTCCGAGGACGGCCTGAGGATCTGTCGGTCCGAGGTGGGTGGATGTGCGGTTTGGACCACGCCAGCGAGTGATGCTCAGGTCAGGCTAATAAGAGGTTCCTGTCCGAGCGTCAGCGCCATGGTACTGAATTTTGGACGTACATAAATGCCGACTCCAGGCCCGAGCAAGCTGAAGTCCGAGAACAGCCGAGGACGTGCAGCCCCAAGCTGGAATACGTTTCGTGCAGTGAGAGCA